ACAGGTTTCATTTGTGCCAGAGCTTTATTTATTTATTTTTTTTGTTTCTAAATGGTCTGACATTTTACTCATGTGCCATCAAATACAACAAGGAATTCAATGTTGATTCTTTAGATTTTTGTCAGGTCCTGCTGCAGCATAAAGTATCACCAAACCATGACAGTTCCACCTCCATTTTCATAGTAGGTATTAAAATCTATCAGATGTGGTTTATACCAAATAAAAAAAATTAAAAACGAGCCCTGCCCCAAAATGCATGAATCATAATGCTGCTTTTGGAAAGCTGCATTAAGAGTGTGATGCGCATCATTGGTGAGGAAATTTTCTTGTCAATATTTTTTTTAAAAGCACTCTGCATCCTGTTTCTCAAGATCGAATCATTTCCTGTGTCACTTCAACTCGTTTCAGTTTACAGACTGAGCTTCACAGAGAACTGAGAGGATGTTGCTGTGGGCCGTGGTTATCCTGGATTTGGGGACTTTGTCCATGTCCCTACCTCAGATCAGTGACAAGAACTTCACTGCAGAATGTGTGAGGGAGCACAATGAAGCCCGCTCAGCTGTCAGCCCATCTTCGAGCAACATGCTTTACATGGTAAGTACTGCACACCTCACCTGTGTTTCACTTTAAAAAAAACGAGACCAAGCAGTGTTTACTGTTTAAGCACCAACATTTATGGCATACTGTTAGAATGTACTTTCTTTCAGTTATGCCGTTAAAAAAGGGGAAGCTTGCAAAAGCTACATACAGTGTTGCACTCATACGACTTCCCCAAAAATAACACAAATGCTATGTTTAACTGACTTAACCAAGTTATGTCAACCGGTTCAAATTAGCTTATTTAATTAAGTGCAAAGAGTATCACGTGGATACTTTAATAATAACTATTACAGACAACTAAGGATTACTAAATCCAGCATTATAGACTTAGATTTGTATAACTTATTGCTGCTAGTAAAACTTAACAGATACTAATACGATGTAATCATACTAGTTTGGTTCAGTTTAAAAGGTATTCTTGAATTCTAATTCAGGGCCAAGACACTTCACCCAAATTACCTACTGTGGTTACAATGTAGCTTGCCACCATGAGTGTGTGAGTGTGTGTGTGGGGGTTAAGAACTGAAGGCCTAAAGCACTTTGGTCAAGTCTCCTAACTTAAAAAAAAGCACTGTATAGTTAGTATTTACCAGTTGCATTGATGTTATTGAGTTTCATTGATGGAGTTTCTTATATTGCAAATTAACGGTTATATTTTCTATGATTTTAAATTTCCTTTATAAAAGTATCAAACCTTTTACATTGCAGTGTCCATATAATCTGTAAAACTCCCTGCATAATTATAATAAAGCAATTTATATGCATGAAACAAGCGGAACACTATGGCGATAGCCATACTGCTCTACTTGTGAAAGTAAAATCTTTTGGAATCTTTTTGGAATCAAGACAATCATTCTTTTTGCCACATTGCCAGACAGGACACTGTTTAAAAAAAAAAGTATCAAACCTAAACTCTTAACTATATTAATAAGAAGATAAATGGCCTGTACTTATTTAGCACAGCTATCCTGGGTCTCACTGACAGAAGCCGCTGTACACCGGCTCCACCAGGCCTTTTGACCACCATCAGTAGGCAATTCAGGTGAAGTTGGTTGCCTTTGGACACAATGGCACCTAAAATCAGCCTCAGGACTTGAACTAACAACCCTTTAGTTGCAGGAGGAGAGACTCTTGCATATGACACCAGTGTTACCCCTGAAGTCCTGTCTCAGACAAGATATTTCGTTGTGAATAAAAAGAACCATAGTTGCATGAAATAACTGAATATAAAACACATTTTCAAATAACACAGTTAGCATGATGCAAAGCACCCTGGGAAATAACAGGAAATCCACTTCCATTAACTGCTACAGACAATATTCTTTTGCCTAAAATCTATTTTTTACATTAAATTAAAACTGCTTATGTTTAGCAGAAAAAAAATTTATTTTAAGTATTAAACTGACTATAAGATATATGCATGAAACATGCCAAGTCCCAGTCTTATTTCTCACATGGGAAGTAACTATAAATGATATTAATTAAAGCATGTAAACCTATTTCATATTAAGTAACAGAATTATAAGGAAATTAATCCCTTTTGATTCAATATATATTTGTGTTATTTTAATTACAATTTCACTTGTTAATGTTACGCATATCAAGATAGTTTTGTTGGTAATCTGACTATAAAACAGTTAACTAGAGCCAAATGTATTTCTATTTATTTTTTTATTTTGCAGCTACCACAATTTAAACATTATAATACATAAAATACTCTTTCTGAGTGGATTTTTCTTAATTCACAATACAGTGAAACTAATAATGTATTTCAAAGTAATCACCTAGAATCAGAAATTCCTGTTCTTATAAATGATTAAAGCGAAATAACAATTGCTGTGTTTCATGTCGTTGCATGTGCTGATGAAGTCATGGGACGAAGCGTTGGCCGTTACTGCCAGAGCATGGGCCAAACACTGCCAATTTAAGCACAACATCTACCTGAAGGAGGTCCAGCGTGTGCACCCTACCTATCATTCTGTAGGAGAAAACATATGGGTGGGGACCCCGCCGTCGCACTTCAGCGTAAAGGGAGCCTTGAAAAGTTGGGTGGATGAAAAGCAGTTTTACAGCTACGAGGCAAACAGCTGCAAAGGCATGTGTGGTCATTACACACAGGTATGTGCACAGTGAGAACACTGTTCATCTACAGCTGATTCAGGTGTGGGACACCTTTATTTGATCAGTATCTGACATTAACACTCAGCTTTTCCTGTTTTATGACACCTGAGATCAATGTTTTCAGTCTGCTAAATTCCAGAACAGTGTCAAATTTTCCACAAATAAAGTTTGGATTACTATGCTTTTAAACCGGAGGTCTTGAACAGGGGGTCCGTGACCCCTAGGGGGTCAACGGAGGTACTGCATGGGGGTCGCGAAAGTTTCGGTTGGTTAGACTTTTTATATATATTCTCCCCCTGCATTTTTTCCACTAATTGAATTGAATTCAACACACTGTAGTAAACAGATAAATGGAGGCAGAAGATGTCTTTTAGTCATCAATGCTCACATTCAGCGACACACAGGAGCTTTTTCAAGCTGGGTACCGTTTCATTCACAACACCTGTCCCATCAACCAGGAATCAGAATCCTAAATGCTTTAATAATCCTAGGGAGAAATTACTTTCCTTGCATTACTCCATCTGTGATAGAGTGACTATTGGACCAATTTGATTTAACACAAATTCATATGATATATATAATTAGGGGGTCCTTGCTCCATCTCACCATCAGTTTGGGGGTCCTTGGCCCTGGAAACCCCTGTTTTAAACAGTTTGAGTAAGTCGGTTTGATTATGTCAGGACTTGCAAGCTCCGTGAAGGGTTATTTTAACAATATGAGTTAAATTAGAACTAACCGGACAAATTAGCTAATCAAACCTGCTGGAAAAATCAAATCTCCCCAGATATCAATTAAAGACCTGGTACCTTCCTAAGGGACAGTTTCCATATACTTAAAGATGGTGACTTGATTAGTTCAAACAATGATATGGCAGGATAAACACCAGGTAGACATTCATTTTTTGAAAAGTGCTTAATAACTTAGGAGGGAAAGCAAAATGTCTTGTGACGATACAGACTGCTGCAAAGGAAGAAGCCATTTCTGCAAAAGCAACATAAAAAGGTCAGATTTATACACGCAAACTGGGACAGAAATTTTACCTTCGGACGTATTTAGCAGTGATAAATTTTGTTAAATCTGAAGTAAAAAAGTGGGAGGATCATATGGGTGTTTTGTGACAGCAGAGACTGGTATACTTCAAGAAACTGCAGGGCAACTGTGGATCAGTGGGTAGAGTAATACTGTTTCACTAAGAAGCTTTCAACTTTGATTCTAGCTTCTTCCTGAAAGGCACCTAAAGTTGGTGACTGACCTGTGTATTGGTGTATGAACATGTAAAAACTGTGAGCTAAGTTGGTTGTTTGGACTTCTACTCAGTATTAAGGATAACAAATAGGAACCTCTGAACTTTAAGAACTGACTTAAAACGGGAAATATTGAATTTGATTTTACCCTTAATAGGGCAAGTTAGCGTTTTTGATCACTTGCATACCCCTTAAAAATGGAGTCCCCCCATCCCTCAGTGAGTTCTAGAAGCACAATATCTATATCCAGCCATTCAGCAAAGATGCTGCTACATGGCTGCATATCTTAATTGGCATTTGACCAATTGGATGAACCCTTGAATGATAGATTACCTACTGTAAATAAAGTAGGAAAAAAGTTAAGATAAGCAAAAAAAGGTAAAAAGCTAACTGAAAATTTCAAAAGTAAAGTTCAAAATTTAATAAGCCTAGTTAACAATTATATTTAGGTTTATTAGATACAAAACTAAAGTGCCAGTTTTAGCATTAATGTCTCAAAGGTTATGCTGGACCAAAAAAAATGTGTTTCTTTCACTGTCAGGGTGTTTTTCATGAATTTCTAATTGAAGCACTTTTGTTATTTTTCTTAGTATATTAAGGCAAGTTGGCGTTTCTTGTTATTACATTGACATACATTTTTGCCATCAAAATATCCATACTTTTTTTTTTATGTTACAAAGGTAATAAGGTCTTGTCCTGGATTCCAATAACTGTATTGACTTGAAATTTTGTTTTTCAAACTATTTCATTGAGTGCCCTATAAAGGGTTAATGTCAGACAGAGAAAAAAAGCTAATGTGAGATTTAAGGCGGCATAATGTACATAAACATCTGGTCTTGACTGCATCACACTTGCGTTTTCAGGTTGTGTGGGCAAACAGCTACAAGGTTGGCTGCGCTGTCCAGCTCTGCCCAAATGGCATTAAACACTTCGATGGCCGTGAGGGTGCAATTTTCGTATGCAACTACGCCCCAAGGTAACCTGAACTCTGTATTTAATGAGAAAGGAAGTGGTTTTAAAAAAATATAGACCTGATGAGGCAGGAAATGGTATACCAACAAACTCCTCAACAGCAACCGCTTGTTTTCTATTTTTAAAGCCAAGCTGCACATTGAGAACTAGAAGCCTATTTAACGGTTCAGGACTAATAACAAACAGGAGGTTTGGTTCAAAGGTCTCTGGACCAAAAATGATGCTTCCTTTAGCAGTATTACTGGATCTCAGCAGGATTTGACATTGATGATCACTCACTTTATTTAGAGCTGCTATACATCTTGGTTTGCCTTTCTGGACAGGTTCAGACCCTACTTGAAAAAAAACTGAACATTTAGAGACCACAAAAATCACATGTGGTGTTCCCCAAGGATCCATCTTAGGGTGCCTCCTATTGAATATCTACATGCCCCTCTAACTCAGATCTCAATGAACAAGAAAAGTTAACGTACGTTAAGATTTCATCAAGTGATTATAAACCCATTTAAGATTTGGGTTAATAAACAAATAGTAGAAATCGACACATTGATGGGACAATATTTTTTTGCATCAAAATAATTGAAATTATTATTATTTATTTATTTTTTTGGAGCATTTAAAGGTTAGCACACAGCTTCAGGTAATCTAGCTAGAAACCACCAATAATCAATTTGGGTGATAGACTCAACCCTGAACCTTCATAAGCTCATTGCGATGGTAACAACCTCGGCCTTCAGTCACTTAAAGAACGTCTCCAGGATTTAAGGACTAATTGCAACGGGTCTGGCCAAAGGTCATAGTCGGCATACCCAGAAACAGAACCAAACATGGAGAACTTGTTTTAATTCTTATGCTCCATTAATCTGTAATAAACTCCAAGATAACTGTTGTTGTTTTAAAATCTATTTGTTAAAAGTGCACTTTGGCTGTGCTATCGAGACAGTCCATTCATTTTAATCAAAAAACATTTTTTTTCTTTCAAATATGAATTTTATTCATTTTTGTTCTCTAGAATAACTTGCGTTAGCTCCAGCAACTGGTTTGTACTTATCCTTCATTTCTCATGTACAGCACTTTGAATTGTTTTGCTATTGAAATATAAAAATTAACTTGATGTGTCTTGCAGCGGTAATTGGTTTGGAAAAAAGCCTTATGCTGAGGGGAATTCCTGCTCTGAATGCAAAGACATTTGTGAGCGCGGTCTCTGCCGTAAGTATTATGCTTAATAGTTGAAGTAATGAATTTAACAACAATTATTGGACTCATTTTTCTGAACTTACATGCATGGAGTGGGAAATAAAGCTTGTGTGTCTCTGCAGGGAGTGGAGAACGAGACAAACTAAGAAGTAAGTCCAAAAAGCCAGAAATGTTCAAAATAAAAGTGACAATTTATAAAAAAAAATCTGACTTTTGGTTTTCGTTTAGGCTACAGCTGGACTCCGGACTGGGACCCCGACAACTTTAGCAAAAATTTTAAAGTTATCCTGATTGTCCGGCCAATTTTCCTCATCCTGGTATGCATTTCTGCATACGCTGTCCGTTATTTTTACCCTGATGTCTTCTGCTACGAGTAGACCTTTTGTTGTTAAAGTAGAACCAGACAGACACCTCATTTATTTTAGTATTTTATTCTTAAAATAGTTGCATTTGTTCTTGAATTGAGGAGGTCAGTGAGACACTTTGCCAATGGAACAACATAATTTAAATATGAAATAAGAACAAATAATTGCATTGTCTTATTTCAAGTGCATGTTATTTAATTATTCTTATGTTAAGAGTAAAAATACTCATTCCGTTTGCAAATTATCTTATTTACCTACTCAAATTTAAGGGTAAATACATTTCAGAAATGTTGACTTATTTCTAGATCATTTTTGCCGTGTACCACTGTATTCAACATTTCTTCCCACAAAAATGAACAGATTTTTAACATCAAAGAGAAGCTGATTTCAAACTGCAGAACACCATGGAATCTGCTGTAATATACTTTTCTTAAAGTCTTGTAATGGACATGAATAAACAAAAATATCCCCCTAAAGAAAAACAATGGGTAAAATCCACCAAGCCAAGTAAAACTGGACAATAACAGGTTAAAAAAAGACACTTGAGTGACTGGAGCATTTCAATTGAAAAGCATTTTACAAGTACAGGAGTGTTTGTCGTTTTACTGGATCTATTTAACGTGTTCCATATTTTTGACTCTTTACAAAGTCTAAATCAAGCCCTTTAATTCCAAATGCTAGTTTTTTATTTATTAATTTCTGCATTTTTCTTTTTAGTCATTCTTCTGTTTTAATCATGATGCTCCTCTCTGATTTGATATATTCTGTAAAGCCCTTCCTGTGTGGATGAGTTACGTCCTTTTTCATTGTATAGTAATGTGATGGAAAGTACATTTATTTGTTTGTACTTCTTTTTTTTTTTTTTTAAGGTAGTTCCCAACTTTAATTTGTACTTTTACCAGAGTAGTTTTTAAGAATGTTTCTCAGTTAAATTCAACAAACATTTGTTACCGAGTGAAAATGAAAACAGGTAAAATAAAGAGGAAAAGCAGGGATAGTAATCAGCCCGTAGGGGGCGCTGACACAAACCCGAACTATAGTTAAACTGGATCTATCAGTTATTATACAGAATTAACTGCCTACCTTTAACAACTCAACATAGAACCTGTAAGCATGTGGAGGTTATGAAAAAATAAAAGGTTTGAGTTTAGTTAGAAACTTTTTTTTGGACGGTGGTGGTTGAAGGGCCTTTTTTTGTCTTAAGCAACCGCACGTCATGTGAAGCTTAAATAAGCATCGTTAGCTTTAACCTGGTAAAAATGTGTTACTGCAGGTCTTTAAAAGGTGGAGAGTATTTAGTTTAGGCCTCAGACTATGACCATGTAAACTTACCGAATAGGTTTGCAAAAGTAAAACTCAATGTTTCCTGAGCAAATGATCAGATTCATCCCTTTATAAAAACACACAGTACCTCCCAATGATTTACTTCATTAGGTACCTTTAAATAACAGGTGTTGTGTATTGCTCTATATAAATACAGTATGTCAACATGTTTGTCTTTTACATGCGTGCTTCTTTAATTCTCAACAGCTTAATATATAATTTTTTTAATGAAATTGACTAAAAGGATCTTCTTCTCACACAAAAGTAACAGTTTTACTTGAAATAGCTCCAATAAAGTACTTTGTGCTGTTTTCTAGTTATATTTGTATTAATGTCAACTTTTTATGTTTTTACTGGAATTAATATTTTTACAGTCTCTCAACCTACACATAGCGCCTGCTAGCTCTCCCTCTAAAAACACCATAAAGCCTCTGAAACTGCTTTTGGTCTTGGGAACATTAGTGAGGATAATATCAGTGGAATCTCAACACAAGGATGACAAAACAGTTTATAGAAGCAGGATTCAAGTCATTAAAAAAAAAAACTTTACTTTTACAGATGCTACCGCTATCATCAGTTCAAAACTGCGGCACAGGGCAGGAAATGGAGACAAGGAAGTAAGAAATGCGACTCTGTACATCATCTTTAACAGTCTTTGTATCTTAAAAGAATGAAAACTTGTTTGGGACTTAAACTCTGAAAGAAATGTTTCACTCCTTTGCATTTCCAATGTCTGTCTTCTGTCCAACAAACAGCAAATGTTAAAAACACGATGGAGCTGGATGTGTTCTTAGCCTTTGTCTTTTGTTTTCTTCTTCTTTTTGTCTGTGGTGTTGCTGGTGGGTGGAGCCGGGATCACAGGTGGAGCTCCCAGTTTCTTTGTTTTGGCCTTTTTGACTTTGTCCTTAATGGCTTCGATGTCCAGCTTCCCTTCTGGAGCTGCAACACAAACAGATGGTTAATCAGTCACCCTTAGAAGTCAATCCTCTCATCTCTGACCTGTGTTTTCTATCTACCTTTAACTGTTTTCTTCATTAATGGCTTCTCTTTAGGAGGAATGAAGGCTTTGTTCCGCTCCTCCTGCTTCTTGGTCAGTGCTTCTGTTTGTTTGACCTGAGGAAGGAAAAAGGTTGCAAAAAAGGTCACATCAGCCATTCTTCAAAAGGATGGAAATTCATGTTTTTTTTTTTTTTTTTTTTTTTTTCACTAACCTTTAATGAAAACATGTTTTCAGTAGGAACTAAGCACTAGAAAAATAACAAAAAAAAATCTTACCTTAATTTCCTCCATCTTCTTCCGCCTTTTCGCGCTTTCACGCAAAAAGAATTCACCCGAGGCAAGCTCCTTATCAACCTGTGAGAGAGTCCAAACCGTTAAAACTCCTTATAACTATGGACCCTTCTGATCTGATCATGCATTTCTTTTCAGCAGTAACTTTAAAAAACACAAAGCTTCCTTGTGTGGCATCACTGGAAAATCCTGTACAGGGAAGAAATGCCCCCTTTATTGATATGGGCTGAAATGCCGCTCAGGGTGGAAGAAGCCATTATAAAAAAGCAATATAAATTATTTTGAAAACATGCCAAGTGGTCTGTTGGAACTAAAACTGAGGTAAACAACTTTTAGATTAATGGAAAGAGGGAGACGCTTGTGAACCTGTGAATGCCATCCCAGCTGTAATGTATGGAAGTGGCAGCATGATGTCATGGGACTGATTGCACTACAGTGAATGACTCGAGTAAAAAAGAAAAAGAAAAAAAATGGAAACAGCATTTTGGGACAAAAGGAAAGCAAGTTAAAGCTACTAAATGGACAATGCCTATTATTATACTGCCAAATAAGTAATAAGGTGACATAAGGGCTATGATATTAAATGTTTTGGATTGTCAATCTCAATGAAAACATTTAAAAAAAGATTCTCCAACAAGAAACTTCTGGCTTCTAATTTAAAGGTTTAGGGTCTAGAAAATATTCCGGTAATCTCAAATAATTAAAAACCATTGGAAGATTATCTATTTCTTTTCAATTTAATCTAATATTTGATTTCACCAAAATCACTTAAAATTTTCTCTTACACTTTGATGTTTACAATGCATGGTAAAAATCATAGTAGTGACACATACATTCATTATTTTACACACAAACTCTTTCTCACCTTGCTTTCTGGCTGTGTGGGTGGGAACGGTGTGTACTCCTTCTTCACACTCTTCTTCTTAGGCTCTTTGCGCTTGGAGAGGTTTTTGGAGCGGAACTTGGGCAGGAAGCGTTCCCAATTCTGTGTCCGCAGGTCCGGGTCTTTAGAAAGTTCCTGTTTGATCATCAGTGTCTGGCGGTAAAGACGGGGAGAGTGATAAACGGTTAAGGCACATTGGCGGAACACCAGTGACGGTTAAAGGTTTAATGGTTGCGCCGACTAGCGTCTTATTTTTCATGCCTTCAGCTCCAGATGAAGCCAACCCTGGCTTTCAAACCCAGAGAGATTTATTTCAGTCAGGAAATCAAGAACAAGGATGGAAAAATCTTCATTAGACATGAATGCAGATTTGTAGCTTGAACTGGAAACCCGTTAACCTGACTATGCATCTGAGAGCAGCTGAATATACCTTGATGTTGTAGATGGGGTGGATGTTCTTCATGGTGTCCATTACCACTTTTCGTACCTGTATAATACAAGATTTTAGTGGCAATGAATTGGTTACAAAGAAGCGATCAAAAATGAGCATTTATTAATTCAGTTTATTATGAAAAACCTAATTAATTTATAAAAATAGTATAGGTTTTTTTCGTTTTCTTACTGGAATCAAAACTAGGTACTCAAACAAAAACCCTTCAGTTTACTTTTTTGCTTTATATGGGAACAATTATTTAATTAGTGAAGGAAACTGGAAATCATTTTTTTTCTTAAAATAAAAATATTGATAATAAAAACATTTGGGGGCGTCTTTTCAGGTAATTCAACCTATTGGTATTTTGGTACAATAACACCACATTTGCTGTAGTATATTTATTAAAATGTTTTGTTGTATTGAACAGTTTCTGATCTGAATATGCTACACACCATATTTCCTAATACTAACCCTGCTAATGACAGGCCGCTGAGAGATTCTTACCTCCTTCAGGCCACTGTAGGGCCCCAGTGCTGACACGGTGTTTCCCTGCACCATCACATAGCAGTTGGTCAACAACTCTAATGCCTAAACATGAGAAAACAAATGATATAATGATTAATTTGCAGAGAGGCGATGAGTTTGATTATGTGGCTTAAACACATTGCTGCCACCTAGTGGTATTGAGCTAATAATGAAATTGAAGCGTCCCTGTAGGAGCAGAAGTCTGGGGCTAAAATAGTCTTAAAATTAACAAACCCTACATCTGCGATGCACACATGTACAGGGCAATGATGCACAATCTTATATATTAACAAGACAAGATTCAAAAAAGTATTTGTGATGCACAATTATGTCTTTATTTACAACCTACCAGTGATATTTGAATTTCAATGCAATGGATTTTTGAGACTCATCTGATGTGGCTTGATGCAAAAATGCATTTTTTTTTTAAAGCCATGATTTGCAAACAATTAGATAACTCCATTATTTCAGGCAATCACAAGAACCTATATTGCATGGTGATATATTTGTCACATGGCGAGTGGGATGTGCTTGTTTGAATCATTAAGTGCATGTTCAACGCTTGCCCCTTGCACGTGTGGGTTTTGTTCTGTGCATGTGCAAATCTTCTCCTGTACATGTGTGGATCACAGATGTGAGTTTGTAAATATTGAGACTCTTCTAAAGCCATACAAATGTGAATCTTGTTAAACACG